CTCAACTGGGTGTTTTCCTTCTGCAAAGCAATCAGTTCATCAATCAAATGCTGATTGACTCTCACATTGTGCGCTCGCATAGCATCGAGGAGATTTCTCTCCAAGTTCATCACTGTCTTGATGCTGTGGATGCCTGCCCGACTTCTCATGATATTGCTGATCATAGAGTATAGAGAGTATTCCCTTGACTGTTCTTCAGATAGGACCATAAGGTGGACTCGGTGGACAGGCCAACTGTCCTGTTTTAAGGAAAAAGTGCAAGGCCAAGTCATAAGATGAAATACGAGCATCCATTCACATTCTCAAAAGAAATAGGAACTGTTTACAGGGGACCATTGCTTAAACTAGTTCCTACAAAAAAAAAAAAAAAACTATTACAAGGCAAAGAGTCATACAGCTTCATGGAAGGAGGAGTGCTTCCGGTAGCTCCACCAGTGTTTCCCTCGACGGGAGGCTCATGGTTTTTAGTACCAGAGTTTCCTGTATCCTTTTCCTCTGAGGCCACATCATCCCCATCCTTGAGCTTGATGCCAATATACTCATCGAAAACTTCAAGGATTGACAATTCCTCGCCACGCCCCCGAGCTAAAACAGTGGGGGTATCATCTGGAAAAGCACCAACATCCCCAGGAACGCTCATCTTGGCCAGTGCTCCGCAAAGAGACTCCCACAGAGGCAGCTGCTCGATGCTTAGGTTAGTAAGAGCCTTCACCAGTGCTTCATGCATGGTTTTTTTCAGGTTCTTCAGGAACTCCTTCATGAACTATCCTCTGTGCATCCTGAACCAGAAAGTAGCACACCACTTGTGAAGGTCGTCCTTTGAGATGTGCAAATTACCATACTCCTTGAGCTTCTCGTCCAGTTCGTTGTATATAGCCTGCACAGAGGATAGTTCTTGCTCCTTGGCCTCCACTTGCTGGCTTGAGAGTAACCTTCTCGGTCGCGCTTGAACAAGTGCATCAAATACACCATCGAGGCCGCGCTCATCTACAACAAATCGTTGGATGAGGCACATTTTGCCTATCAAGAATTCACAGGAGTGTTTACCAATTGAAATGGAGTACTTACCAGCCTCACACTGCCAGTTTCTGTTAATTGCGCAGCAAATTCTTTGAGCAAGGGGCACTCGATGGTTGGAGGATCACCAAATGTATGGACGGCCATAGTTGGTCCTCCCTTGAACACATGGGAAGGCAAAATAATTGATTCTCCCTCGAGGGGACCCTTGCATTTGTCCGTGGCAGATGGCTTATTACTTAGCTCAGGCTTCGTTGGTGGAACGGTGGTCCTCTCGGCCACTGGAGTCGCAGTCTTCTCTCTTTGTGATGTTGACTCTGTTGCCGGGACATCAGCCTTTGCTTTTTCAGGGCCCTTCATGATTCTCTTCTTTTTCATCTTTCTGCCAGTTGTTGTGGTCGACGTCTCTTCATCTGAATTTTCAACATGAAAGGGGTCTTCGTCACCATAAAGCCGAGAACCAACATAGCTTGATGACATGACCTAAGAACAACAGAAGCAATAGAAAGAGATTAGTACCTTTTTCCTCATCGACAAGAAGATTAGTATCTTTTTCCTCCTTGGCAGGAACAGTGGGAATGTAGTGCTGCACGCTACTCCATTTAATAAGTTTTGGGTACTTCTGGATTTTCTTTAGATCACCGTCAAACACCACTATAATCTCATCGTCTTTCTTAGTTCATTCGTCCTTTGTTGCCCCGAGACCTTCTATTTCTCAATGGTTCCACACCAGGCAATAATTCTCGGTGGCCTTCACAAACAGGTTCTCTGGCTTCCATCTAGGTGAGCCACCACACGCCTCGACAATCTTCTTAATACCCGACCTAGGACATTTTTTTAACAATATACCAATCCTGGAATGATGTCGAGGGGACAACAACTTGGAAAAAATACCGCCACAGAATCAGTTGGGGCTTCACCTTTACTCGTTCACATATTTTTGCAAAGCCGAGGAAGAAAGTTATCAAGTTTGGTGTAAAACGAGCAAGATGGGTTTTGTAATGTTGGACAATCTCCTCGAACAGAGCAAAAAAGGGGTATCTTAGCCCTAGATTCATAAACCGATCATGTACATTAATTTTTCCCTCTGGAGGAGAATTGGCTCTCTCATTACCTACAGGGGCTCTCATATCTAGCTCTATAGGAAGGTCATATCTCGTTCTGACTGCATTAACTCTATCGTCGGAATTAATGGTAGAAGCAAAATCTTGAACAGTTTTCATATCTGGGTTTTTAGTGGCCATACCTGCCACAATTTGAAAAGTCGAATCTAGATCTACACTAGCAAGTGCTAATTGAAATAATCAATGAGGGGATCCGAGAACTTACTGTTGAGATGGGTTTCCACTATCTCTTGGAGTTGTAGCCGCTCAGTTTCCCTTCAATCTGGTCACCGGTAAGTCCTATGGTGACGATGTCACTGGGGCAAGATAATAGAAAAGCTGCAAGCATTCAAGCGGCAGCAGCTGGGGCACTTTGATAAAAGAAGGAGTGCTAGTGTTTCAAAGAATGAGAAAAGAGGGAAGTCGTATAGAGTTTCATTGGCTCCCAGGTATATAAGGCAAAACTTGAATCCCCCCATGTCTCTGCTGTTACAGCGTTAAATCAAGACAATTATGATAATGTTGGCCGCCATTTGGGAAATTTGCCCACTTACTACACGCGGTTAAACAATTTAGGTGGGATTCCCCGTCGGGTTGTCTTCTTGGGTTCCCGGATTGAATCCTTACACGCGAACCATTTTATCAAGCTTGCTCGATGCAACATGGGGCGAGACTTGTCCATTCAACTTGGGTCGAGTCTATGTTAGATTTATTTTTTTGTCAAGTCTGGTTTATTTCATATAACTAATACTTGATAGAGGCACTTGCCGAGTCCATATCGACCGATGATTATCGTATCGGCCCATCTACCAACTATGGTCCAACCGACCTTATAGAGGCGGTTCCGGAATATAAAACCTAGTAGAATTTGGCGTTCCTCTGAGTGATTCCATGCCTATAAATAGGGTTGATCACACCACAATACGGGTACGCTACCTCTAGCTCAAATTACCATGCATACACTTCTCTATAACCCAATTTCTGATTTAAGTGTCGGAGTGTCTACCCTCGTGAGACCCCCGAGGCCTTTTTTTGCTGGAAACCCTAGCCGAAGTTCCCCATCCAAATGGCGAACAAGTCTATACTTCATCAACCTTGAGGACGAGGACTCTCTTAAGGAGAATGGAGTTGTCTATCCATTGTTCCAATTTTCAAAACTTATGGAGTATATGAACTAAATCCATGGGACCTCTGCCAGGAAGTTTAAATTGTTCAGATTTACTACAAAAAATTTTAAAGTTAATGGTGAGTCTATTGCTTCTCAGAGATGAATTTGACAAGAACAAATGATATGGTTTTTGGGAATTGCACTGGGAAGCCTGGTTCAAGCCAAGCATCACATGACACTAGGGAGAAGAGAATTTTAGGAAATTTTCATGCCCCTCCCTATTGTGATTATCATGAGAAATTTGATGAAGTGATAAGGAGTAGGGAACAACATCTGGGGGCACTTAAAAAGGTTTTTGATTGTCTAATGTTTCATTGTTCATTTACTGCCTTGTCTGATGAAGCTGAAAAAAGAAAATTGAGGTGTTTCCTATGGTTTTGCGTGTTTTGTTTGAGGTCTTGGATGGGTTTCACGAGGAATATGTTGTTGGAATGTTTCAGGAGGAACTAGAAATTGAGTTACTTCCTATAATCAGTTGCAACATATTGAATACAACTTACGAGGGCTCCCTTAGGTAGCAATGCGCAACAAAAGATAATATAGCTGCATATTTTGCTTTTATTTTTGGGACTTTGGATACCTTCTTGTTGTTGGCTGCCGCTATGCATACTGCTGCGAATCTATGTTGTCAAATTAAGTACAATGGGTTATGCAAAAATGCAGCCATTAATAAATTGATGACAGTTAGAGTAGGAAGTAGCTTCTAGCTAATAGCAAAATATATATTGTTACAGCTTCCAGACCTGTGCATATGTCTTGGTTTTGATTGATTTCGAAATTTTGGGATACTGATAACTCATAATGCTATTATGCACTTCCACTGTGTTGCTGATGACTCATGAAGTGCAGTTGCTGTTCAATTTTCCAACACTGGAAGTTGCAGTTGTGCATGATTTTCTTTCAATAGCAGCTTTTCTTTTTAAAGTTTCTTATGCCTCTTCACTTTTCATTGTAAAGTCTTGAGACAAGACTTACTTTAGGGGGAAGATTTGTCACATACTCAGGGGTTGTTTTGGCTTTGCTAAAAAATATAAGGACATGGAAAACAATTATGTAATAGTTAGGATATCATCAGACGGGATAAAAAAGGTTGTCTTTGTCAGTAGGGATCAACGAAGAAATTGATACTGTTTTTGTTATTTTTCTTACTTTTGTTTCTTTGATTTTACTCTTTTGCCTATGTCGATTCTTGTCGAAGTCTGACATACTCCCTCTATTCCTTCCAAAATAATTATCGTTTTAGCAGGATAAAAGAAATTCAAAATAAACGTCAATTTCTTATTCCAATACACTTGTTTTAATTTCCGAAATCACCCTCAAAATAAATAATATCATTGGCAAAATTTTGTTTTAATGGGGTTAGTTAGGCTTATATTCTACTAATTTAGCTAACTCATTTAATTATTTATTAAATTGTGTGCAAGTTGTAAAATGACACTTATTTTAGAATTAAGGTAGTAGTAATTTTGAAACCTGTTCGTTGTAGAGAAAAACTAAGACAAACCCTGCCTAAAATTTCAAAAAAAAAAAAGAAAAGAAAAAAAAAAGAGAAAACCGAATAAAATAGCAATAATATGAAGAACTGATAATTAGAAGGCGGGCCTGGGTCCAACAAGTGTTTCATCGGAATTAGAGCAACTAACTAATAAAAGTATCTCAGGGCAGAAGAAAATCGTCAAAAACTTCTGCTAGGGTTTCTTTCGGTGACGATGATGGCAAAGTCAACGGAAAAGCTCCAAGATTGCTCCAAGGATGAAAGTATTACCGTCGATAGGATCAGCGATTTACACGATTCATTGCTTTGCTATATCCTTTGCTTTCTCCCAACGAAATTTGCTGTGGCGACGAGCGTTCTATCTAGGAGGTGGAAATCTATATGGACTATGGTAACTACGCTTAATTTTGATTATTCAAATTTCAACGTCGAAAAGACGACGAAGATCTCAAAATTCGTGGATTTCGTTAACAATGTTTTACTCCATCTTGATGTTGGACGCTTGGAGAGTTTTCACTTGAATTGGTGGGAGGAAGAATGTCAAGGAGTTTATGTTAATTCGTGGGTTAGCAACGCAATTATGAGGAACGTACGATTTCTTGATCTTCACGTTTGTACATATGACAATGTGGCTCAAGTTCCGGCTTCCCTTTTCACTTGTGGGTCACTAGAACATGTTGAACTAGAAGGATATATTGTGGTTAAAGTCCCTTCTGTGGTTTCTCTTCCTTTGTTGAAAAGTTTGATTTTATATTCAGTGACATATGAAACGGATCTAGATGTTCCCAGACTAATATCTGGTTGCCCAGTCCTTCATGTACTCATGATGCAAAGGCATCCGAAGGATAACGTGCAAGTTTATAAGATTTCATCTGCTTCGCTGAAGCATCTTACCGTGTATGATTTTGATTACAGTGAAGCAGTAGATGATGCAAAACGCAAAAAACTAGAAATCGATCCCCCTGCCATCGAATCCCTCGAAATATGGGACGACATGAAAGAATTATTTGTGAAGACACGGCTAAATTCTGTTAAGGACGTGAAACTTTATCTTGATTTCGATGCTGAAAGAATCAATTCCATTGTAAAGGCGTTTCAAGCTCTGGAACATACCAAGTTTTTGAAACTGGAAGGAACAGTGATGGAAGCTCTTAACCATGTTCCCACAATCTCATTGTCCGTAAAATTTTCCAATTTAACCCAATTGGATATTGAGTGTCACTGTTGTCATTGGCGAGCTCTACTCGTTATGCTCGGGTTCGCGAACAAATTAGGAACCCTAAAAATTAGAATGGTTAAATGCATCAACAACAACAACAACAACCCCCATGATCTATGTTGGAGGGACCCGGTTCAAGTTCCCGAGTGCTTGTCATCCAGTCTCGCGAAAATTTCAATTACAGGACTCAAAGGCCTTAAAGACGAGATCTCACTAATAAAGTATCTTCTAAAGCATGGTTCGGGGATGAGAAGAATAAAGCTACACTCGGCCCCTGATCATTGTGCCTTGAAGGATAAGTTTCAAATGCAACGGGAGATATCCTTGCTCTGCGCGATTTCTGCAACCAGTCACGTCCACTTTGATGGCAATCACATCTTCTGAAAGATATTAAATCAGATTTTGCTTTATAGACCTTTTCATATCAACAACTATATTAAGCATGTTTTCATTTATATTATTGCTGGTGTATTTCCTTGTTTTTATTATGTTATTACCAGAGTATGTGATCCTAAAACTTTTATTGACCAGAATTCAGTTATGTTTTGCTGCTTTAGAATTTGTTGTGGTGTTCTTAAATCTTTTTTTTAGCAGACCTCTTTTCTTTGTTAGAGAAAAGAATTTCAATTATGTTTTGCTGCTTTAGAATTTGAATCAGCAGTTGATTAGTTGGAAAGAATTGTTAATGAATAAGATGGTTTCTGATTTCCTATCATGCTCTCAAGGACACACTCTGACACCATTAAACTGTGATCAAAGCAATGGACCTTCAACCAGCTGATCCAACCAACTTAACCATTTTTCTGAATCATTTGGAAGGTACAATTATCCTTGAAGCAGGGGCCGTCTGATACCCTATAACAAAAGAATCATCAAAAGTGAACAAGAAAAATGAACAAGAAAAATGAAATCGAACGCAGACAAAACCTGTTGATTTCGTTAGAATAATAGGAGTAATCCTTATTTTTTACTATATATAACATACAGTATGTAACTATATAATATTTGTTTAGTCAAAAAAAATTGGGCTATTAGTGTAAGATCCAATGTAAATTGAAAAATAATGGAATTGATAGATACAGTATTAGAAATCGCCAGGACCACAAAGGACCCCAATTCTGAATCTCATATCTTTCTTCAATAACTGAATTATGTAAAATTATAAATTACAAATACAAAATAAAATCGATAAATGATGTGCATGAATATGAACTATCCAGTCACGATCAATTCGCCCCATTAATTGCTCTTAAGTTTTTACTTGCAGCATCTTCCTGGTTTTTCCCCCATATACTGAACTGTATTATAGTTACTCTTCTTTCAATTCTACTAACCATGAGGCATAGGCGTGACATTCTACTTTGATGTGAGGATACCTAGGTCTACTTCTCGTGCCTCCACCATGGACAAATCATATTTTGGGTATAATCTTCCTACTTGTGCCTCGAACCTGGTAATAATCTTTGTTATCAACAAATTCAATTCCAGGAACAATAACGTGATCAGCCTCTGAGCTACATTCTAATTTGATGCGAGAGATCCATCTGCGTGTTGCCCTGACTCGGCCCGAGAGAGATTTCTTAGGCCTAATCGTCTCGCTTATGCTTAGATCGTTGTAGTAATTCTTGTATTCGAAAACTCCAATGTTAGGCACATTAAACTCTGCCTCCTTCAATTCGGGCACATTATCCAGATGTACTCTTTTCAATGACGGACTTGATATCTTGATTCTTTTCAAGTTATTGTAGCGACGGATCGACAATGTCTCCAGCCGGGGGAACTGTTGTATCCAATCCATGGAGTAAAACCAGTCAACACTATCGTTCCCACTTCATTGAAAAGGAACAAACTTTTGAGATTCCGGTATTCGGATTGACTAAAATTAAGCCAAGCCATCTCGGTACTGTTGTTAACGAATATTGTTGTACAATATACAGACTCTAAATTCGGAGCCACATCCACCTCAGCAGTTTGTCCCGGATATAACATAACTTTGAATTGGCTAAGGCTTTGAAGATCATTAACTTCTTTTCTTTTTGGTGCCCAACCTAAAGTAACACTCAATTGCTTAAGGTTTTGACGATGCACGGATATGCGTCGCCGGTTAAACGGTGGAACTCCGGTTAGGGTTTCCTGCAAAATAGAGCCTCGGGGTCTCCCGAGGGTAGACACTCCGATGTTTAAGTCAGTAAACGGGATTGCTAGAAGGTTTAGGGAGGTAGTATGTTTAGCTATGAATTGTGGTATGAGCTACCCTATTTATAGGTATGAAATTACCTGGACCATTCCCGAATCCAACTAGGTTTTAGGAGTTTACACCATCCTAAGAGTTCCAGTTGGACTCTTCTTACGGTGGGTGGGCCGGTAGAATCTCGGTAATGGATCTGGACTCGTCAAGTGCCCCTGCCAAGTGTTAATGACATAGAATCAAACAACGCTTGGCATGAAATAAGCATTACCTGTGACATGCCCGAGAGTGGACAGACCGCCCTCGTTCAGCTAATTGTCGAGGCACAAGCCTAACGAGCTTGATGCTAACACACGACCCTCGATCTCGGAGGATCCAGAGGAACCGGCGGGTCAGGTCGTAACCCAGGAATATGACCCGCTTCCCAATCCCGCTCAAATTTTCAATTGCGCATTATTAGTGGGCACGTTCCCCAAACGGTGGCTTCAACATCATTACTTCCTTCAAACCCGCAATAACTATCAAATCGTGGTCCATAATTAAGGAAACGTGGGAGAATCAACTTCCCTTTTAAAAGAGAAAACTTCTACTATCCCTGGACACTTAATCACTTTCTTTCTCTGCAAAAGCACAAAATCCTCTCCTTTGCAAAAAAGTATTCCCGCCTCCATTCCGCTCTTCCTTTTCAGAGCATCCTAAGTCTTTTCCCGGCCGGAATCTTTAAGGTTTTACCTGATACACTGCCCTGGTGACACCGTTTCCAGGGGAGTTGCAAATTGAAGCTTCTAGACAACGCTGGGGAGTTATAATTCGAAGGGGGAGTGGTCACGTCCCACTTACATAGTAAGTTTCTAGATCTGAATCTCCGATTTGTTCCGTTTCCTTTTCTGTTGTAGTCAGAGTAGAGCTTTGCCGGAATTATGGTTAGGGATTCCAAAGGAAAAGCTGTTCTGGATTTTGTTTCCACCATAGACTCGGTGGATAAGGTAGAAAACCTTAGATCCAAGTATGATTTCCGTTCCGCCTTAGAGGCGAGAGCTCCGTTAGGGAACGAGAGGGCCAACTCTCGTCCAAGGGGAAGAATTACCGTGTATGATAGATTTATACACCTAGGGCTTAGATTTCCCCTTTACCCCCTGTTTGAGGAGATTGTTCAACATTATAGGATTCCTCTCGCTCGTTTTACCCCAAAATTAATTACATTTGTACTGGGGTTTGCGAGAGTGTGCCAATATGTAAAAGTAGTACCTCGATCGATATTGTGGAGGTACTTTTTCCAAGTGGTCGTGGCCTCGACTTCTTTCCAGGATTGGTATATAGTAAAAAGACGCCTTAGAGCCGGCGTGAAGAAGATGGTCGAGGTGTATGGCGGCTCTCCGGAATGGAAACCGGACTTTGTGTTTGTAAGGGACACTTGCAAGTTATTGTCTGCCATGGAATCTCCGTGAGACAGAGGGCCTCAGGGCCATAAAAGATGAATGGACCCAAGAGGATGAAGAGTGTGTCGAGGAGTTCCAGGCAGATGTCGAGAAGATTCTGAAATACTCGAAGGTCGTTAAGTGGAACGACGTCCAACACTATGTGTCCCTGAATATGCGAAGGAAGGTGATACAGTCATCGTCGAGGGAGCAACCAGAATTCCCCTCGAAATCTCTGATGAAGAAGATCAAGGTACTAATCGTTTTCTTCTTTTTTTTCTTTGTTGTTAGATAATGTCGTCGAGCAATGCTGGGTCTCGATTGTTTGGTGACGAAGACCCTTTTGTCATTGTGAATTCAGATGAGGATGTTACTGTTACTGCTGCCCCTCAGAAGAAGAAGAAAAAAAGGATTGTGAAGGTGGGCGATAGGGCAAAATCCAAGAAGGCCAAGACAGATGTGCCCCTGAAGGAAACCGCTCAGCCGAGCGTCAAGACAATGCCCGTTCCCACTGAGTCCGTGCAGAAAATCGTGCCGGAGACAGGGCCAAGCATGGTCCCTCCTGTGGTAGAGAGAGGAAAGGGCCCTCTCGAGGGAGAAGCCATAGTCTTGCCTCCCCAACTATTCGAGGGAGGCCCGTCTGTGGCAGTTCACACCTTCAGCAACCCGCCTTCAATCGAGTGTCCTATTCTCGAGGAATTCACTGCCCAACTGAATGAAGCTGACAGCTTGCGGTTGGTAAGTAATTTTTTCAAATTATGTCATAAATGCGCTGCGGATGTCCATGTGTCTCTAATATGTTTTGTTGGTTCAGATGAGTGCAGCCTCGATGGCCTACTTAGTGCAGCTGAGGAAACTTTGAGAGGACCTGGCTGCAGCAAGGGCAGAAAGGGACGAGGCATTGTTCGAGGTGGTTACCCTCGAGGAGAAGGTTTGCCAAGTTCAGGCCAAGGAAGCAGAGATTGTTGAGGTGCAGGCCAAATATGATGAGCTCGACGAGAAGATGAAGTCATTTGCCAGCCTGCATATCTCCAAGGAGAAGCTCCACCAGTGGTGTACCGCCTTTATGTATAGAATGATGTCTACAGGCGGAATGGCAGCAGCCCTCGAGGAGGTGAACTTGGTTGCCACCAAGTGTGGTGCGCACCGAGTGGGCGTGGCAGGGTTGAGGAGGCTCGACCAGGATAGGCCAATTAAGGCCAAATGGTTCAAGCAACTCTTGATGAAGGACCCAAAGAAAACCATGCACGAGGCCATGGTGAAGGTCTTGACAAGGTTGAGCCTCGATCACCTCCCTCTGTGGGGAGCTCTGACCGGTGCCATGTCCAAGATGAGTTCTCTTGCGGAGATTGTCTCGTTTCCGGGCGACGTCCCTGCTGTCCTGGCCAAGGGTCCGAGTGAGGAAGACCCCCTCCCCGAGGTTCCTGACGAGTATATGGGCATCGAGCTCGAGGATACTGATGAGGAAACCGAGGAGGATGTTGCTGATACCGGTCACTCCGGAGTTCAGAGAACCGTTGGGGATGCCTCCCAGGCCCCTTCCAAGGACCCTTCCAATGATCCTTCCAATGATCCTCTCCCAGGCAGTGATGCTGTATGAATCTTGCCTTCTGTAATAGTTATTAGGCCATTCAAACTTTCTCTTTCTGCTGTAATGAATTAATTTTTCTTTTCTTTCACAGATTTATGCAAACGTCTCTTTTCATTCCGGTTCTTTGTCCTCTGTGTTCTTTCTATTTTGTTTGATGTGAGTGCCTTATGCTCCTCTGGTGAAACAG